ATTGCACAAATTATATATTCACTTATGATTCTGAATAAAAGCCATGATAATTCCCCATGCATATAAAAATAATTTAAAATAACCACAATGTGGTATGAGCTGAAAATTAAATATCACCAGTAACACTTGGATCAAACTGTGTTAAAAATGAAGAACATAATAACACTGGAAGGAAGGTTGAAGGAAGACTAACCTGATTAAATTTGGGGAACGGTATTCTGACTATATTCTATAAAACAAAAGATAAAAACAATCGTACATAAATATTTTATTCATTAGTTAACTTGTCTTCATAATTATGTATGATATACATCGATACATTAAGTTCTAAAACTATATTATTTATTTATTAGAATTGAGCAAATAGGATACAAGAGAGTCAAGTTCTCATGCTGAAAAGGGGATTTACAAATATGGAAATGATAAAGGCTGGAATGAATCCTTTGGTGTTTGAAATGGAATCAGAGCTATCAGTTCAAATTCATGATTCATGGTATACATTCAAAAAAAAAGAGAAATAGAGATGCCTCTTAGTGTGTAGAGCACATTTTATTACACAATTCTGTCCACCGAGAAGGTCACAAAGCAACGACACTCAGTTTTAATGAATGAAATAAAATCTTAGATCTTGAATTCCAAATATCATTCTTAAAAGGTGGGAGGGTTGGGGGAAGTCTAAATATTCTAGGAGAAATAGTGAGCTGTATTGATGGGTCAAGATAAATCTGGAGGGTCTGATGTACTGAAAGACAGCAGGAGCTTAGAAAATAATAGAATGTGTGCAAGGACCTAGGAACTAAATTGTAGGAGGCTCCAGAGGCTAAATCTCTAATAATGTATAACCACATAAATAGATTAATGGTGTATAAATTACAAAATAAAACAAGTGTTCATGAGTTTTTAATGATGCAAATATGTAAATGGAACAGAAAGTACAGCTCTTCCTTGTGGTAGAAGTACAATTAATACAATGATGGCAAACAACAGAGTAATAAATGTCACATATAAGAAACACTGGTGAACACTCAAGCAGTGGCCAAGAGTACACTGAGAAACATTTGCACCACAGTATCTTCTCTAAATATATTTAAAAATCAAAGAGGTAAAAATAAGTATTTCCAGTAGAGAAATCCAAAAGAAGCCATAAACACATAATCAAATTAACGTCACAAGGAATAAAAAATATATTTACACATGGATTTCCTGCAGTAACACACTGAAAGGGTAGAACATCACTGTGGTATTCTTGTTAAAATGCCTAACCTCATCCTCATAATAAAAACATCAGAAAAACTCAAATTCAGAGCCACTCAACTTGCCAGTACTCTTTGAAATTATTATAGTCATTTAAAAAAACCAGAAAAATTAAAGTTCATGTACAGATACTACATTACTCAGTGTAGAATTTATTTTCAAATAAAATGATTTAAGCAATCTAGTGGAAAAGAAAATTAAATGAAAAGAGATTCGCATAATAAACCAGACATTATAAAACAATGAAATTTAAGATAATTGTTTAACACAGGAAATTGAAAAAGTCAAAATTTGTTTCTGTGAAAAAATAAAATTAGAAAAAAAATTCAAGATTGATTCACAAATGATGGAACAGATTACCAATAACAAATAACAAAGAAAAAAAACTCATAATAAGATTAAATATGTCCCCAAAATAATGTAACTATTCAATACTAGTAAATTTGAAAATTTTAGATTAAATTCCTTATAAAGTTTAACTTGTTGCAATTGAGAAAGGAAAATATTAAGCTCACATATTTTATATATATTTAAAATAATGAACTGTTAAAAATCTTTCCCCCAAATCCCTCTAAGCCAACATGACTCTGACAAATTCAGTTCAATTTTCAATACAAAAAAAAAAAAACAAGAGCAAACAAACAAAGAAACCCAGGACAAAATCAGAATTGGCACAAAACCAGAATTCTTTTAAATATTTAAGGAAGAAATAGCATCCATCTTAGATAAACTCAGAGATAAAAAAGGAGGAAACACATAATTCACTAGTATATGCTTGTACAATTTGATTCCAAAAGGAAAAATACATTGTAGAAAATAATATCATATTCCTCATGAACATACAGAATTTCAAAGCAAAATATTACCAAATTGAACCTATTGATAAATTTTAAAAGTTACTATATCAGAATCAAACGTCATTTACAAAAGGAATGAAAATTTTAAAATTGAAAAATTATTTCATGAACAGTAAATAGAAATAAAAAGCAAAATATGACCAATATGATTACTTCAATCCTTGCACAGAAAGTATTTGAAACATGAGGTTTGGGGGTGTCTAACAAAATAAGAACAGAAGGTAATCACCAGAGAATGGTTTAAAAAAGAAGCCCAGAGCAAACGTCATACTGACTAGTAAAATATGAATTGCTTTCTCTGATATAAGAAATGAAAATATTCAACCTTGTACTTTAATCTTACTCAGAACAGTATGGTATGAAAATGTATGATTTTTGAAATAAAGAAGCAAAACATTCACTACTTGCAAAAATAGTCACTATTTTCTTTTTTTTTTTTAATTTTTTATTGTTGGCTGTTCAAATCATTACATAGTTTTTGATATATCATATTTCACAATTTGATTCAAGTGGGTTATGAGCTCCCATTTTTACCCCATATACAGATTGCAGAATCACATCAGTTACACATCCATTGATTTACATATTGCAATACTAGTGTCTGTTGTATTCTGCTGCCTTTCCTATCCTCTACTATCCCCCCTCCCCTCCCCTCCCCTCCCCTCCCCTCCCCTCCCCTCCCCTCCCCTCCCCTCTTCTCTCTCTGCTCCCTCTACTGACATTCTTTTGTCCCCCTTATATTATTATTTTTCCCCTTCCCCTCACTTCCTCTTGTATGTACTTTTGTATAACTCTGAGGGTCTCCTTCCATTTCCATGCATTTTCCCTTCTCTCTCCCTTTCCCTCCCACCTCTCATCCCTGTTTAATGTTAATCTACTTCTCATGCTCTTCGACCCTACTCTGTTCTTAGTTACTCTCCTTATATCAAAGAAGACATTTGGCATTTGTTTTTTAGGGATTGGCTAGCTTCACTTAGCATAATCTGCTCTAATGCCATCCATTTCCCTGTAAATTCTATGATTTTGTCATTTTTTAATGCAGAGTAATACTCCATTGTGTATAAATGCCACATTTTTTTTATCCATTCATCCATTGAAGGGCATCTAGGTTGGTTCCACAGTCTAGCTATTGGCAAAAATAGTCACTATTTTCTACCTTATAAAAAGTTCAGTGGATGAGATGGGCAATGTAGCACAGGCCTATAATCTCAGCAACCCTGGAGGCCAAAGCCTGAAGCAGGAGGTTCACAAGTTCAAGGCTAGCCTGGGAAATTTAGCAAGAGCCTGTCTCAAAATAAAATTTTAAAAAGAGCTGGGTTGTAAATCAGAAGAAGAGCACTTCTAGGTTCAATTCCCAATTGAAAAAACAAAATCCACAGGAACCCAATAATAAGTAATTAAAATTAATAAATTTAGCAAGGCTTGAGATCAGAGTAAATATGAAAATAGTCTACTCTGTTGGTGCATACTAAAAACTAAAAATTAGAATATACCTTTTTTAAAGAACCCGTTCATTCTTGCATCAACCTCCAATTATATACAATTAAATCTAACAAAAATGCTAACACTATTAATGAGAAAATAATTTAGAAAGTTAAATCTATAAATAGAAAAAAATAGAATGTTCAGGAATTTGGCATTGAAGCCAGATTTAAAGTTAGGTAGTCAGTGTAGTTAGATAAATCGGGTCTAATATCGAGTGAAATCTAAAATGGAGACCATGAGGAGAATGACTCCTGGAAAACACAGGACAACTCATGGAAGTCCCGAAAAGGCCCTAGGCCAAAGTCCACCTCAAAGATATGTTAATGAACAGCCCCCAGCAAAAAGGTGCTGACTCAGAAGTCCTTCCAGACCAGATTACTTCTTTGGCCCACCTGTGTCCCACCCCTGGGTCCTTCCCACCTACATTCCATCACTGAAAGAACTATAAAAAGGGGAGACAACATCCCTTCCACGGATTCCACTTCTTGGGTCCCCTTCTTCCTCCGGGAGAAGTCTTTTCTGCTGTCCTTTAATAAACTTCTAATTTCTACTCTGACCTTGCCTCGGCGTGCTTCTTTGGTGTTATTCTTCAACACTGGGGAAGCAAGGACTCGTCACCGGTCAACAGCGGTAACAGCATGGCAAAAGTTCAATATGGTAACAATTCCAATTTTTATTTTGTTGACTACAAATTTAATCCAATTCAAGAAAGTCTTTGTTCATTTATGTTTGTCTGTCTTAAACCATTATGGAGGAAAACTTACAAATTAATTATGTTATAAAATTTTTACAAAATCACAATGAAATGAGAGTAATAACTAGTTAGTCTCTTGAATAACTAGTTGACTACTTCTACTTAAGGTGTCCTCAAGAAAAGGTTAATCATGGAATCTGGGTGTGGCATGGAATCTGGGTGTGGTGGCACATTTTTGTAATTCCAGGAACTCAACAGGCCCTGTGTCAACATAAAACTTTAAAAGGTTTGGGGTAATAGCTCAGTGGCAAAGCACTCTGGGGTTCAATTGTCAGTTCTAACAAAACAAGAACAAACAAAGAAACCCACAACAAAACCAGAATTGGCATAAAACCAGAATTCTGAATTATTTTCAAACATTGACTCTTTTATGAAATACTGCTCAGTATTTCAGAAAGTTCTATCATAACTGTGAAGTAGCACTTTTAAGATAGTAGTTATAAAATAATTATGTTGTAAATGTTTGTCTTTTGTCTTACCCAAGACTGTAAACTTCTGAACAGTGACTATTTCAACCAATAACCTTCAAACTCAACATGGCCTCTGACATACAGGAGATACTCAAAAGAATATGAGATAAATGTTTTAAATAGCATCAATGAAGATATTTTTCATACTCATCAAAATCTCTGAAGAAAACTCAAACTTACCTCCTATGTCTGGACGAAGTTTATTGTCATAACCTTGAAGCAATGAGTTGAGAATCTGTGTGATATCTCCTTCATGAATTTTTGGTGCCAAAACCCATGTTTTGTTCACTGTTAAATCTTCATCATCTTCGTCATCTGCTTTATCAACACTAAATAGTTCAAAGAAAAATTGGGGTGATAGAAATTTTAATCAAAAAGTTTATATAAAGAATAGTTTTAAGATTATTTTAATTGCATAAAGAAGTAGTAATAGGAGAAAGAACATTACAGAAATGTTTCCAGTAAGACTAGTGCCTTTATCTTAAGAGGTATCTGATATAATAATATTTGAAAATTAAGAATTTGGTGCCAAAAATATAAGGTGCAATATTGATTTCAATGTTAAAATGAATCTTTACTCTCACAACTGCTATTAAAATTCACAAAAACTACAGGCTAAAAATATGAATCATGTCCCCTAGATTTGTGTAGTACCCTTAATCTACCTAAACTACAGGCTAAAAATATGAATCATGTCCCCTAGATTTGTGTAGTACCCTAAAACAAAAAGTAAAAATTAGTGGAAAGGTCATAATAGCCTAGTAGAATATATAAAAATGCATGTATATAAAAGTATAAGGAGGCCGGGCGTGGTGGCCTGTAATCCCAACAACTCAAGAGGCTGAGGCAGGAGGATCATGAGTTCAAAGCCAGCCTCAGAAAAAGTAAGGTGCTAAGCAACTCAGTGAGATCCTGTCTCCAAATAAAATATAAAATAGGGATGGGATGTGGTTTACTGGTTGAATGTCTCTGAGTTCAATCCCCGGTACACACACACACACACACACAAACACACACACACATTAAGGAAAGATGCAGGAAGAAATATTTGAAGGAAAAAAAAATTGAAGCATTATACACTCTCATGTTCCTGCTCTTTCAGTTTAAATGGGGAAAAAAAAAAAAAAAACAGAATATCTTATTCCAAGAATTTTGTCAAAGATTACATGATCATCAGATCACAAGTGAATGACTCATCCTCTGCACATATTCTTTTAAAGGACAGGAAGAATATATTTATCAAATTCTAAAATTAGAAGAAAGGACCAAGAGATCCTATTACCCCCTGCCTTTATTTTGTATATGAGAAAACTGAAAATGAAAGGACAAATCTAAAACTGAGGAAGGAAAAAAAAAAAAAAAACTGATTCCCCAGCTAATAGTCCCTGCCGCACCTGTGTACTTATCAAGTGTAAAGATTCAGCTTAATTCCAATTTGTGGTACAAATACGCAGTAATGTAGACATTAATCTAGGAGTCATCAAATGTAGCAATTTTTTTTATTACACGTGAGTAACCTCACCCTTATTTAAGAAATATTATCCTAGACTTAGAATACACCCTCTTTTAGTAAATCTCTAGTGCCCCAGTGAAAAGGGCCCAAAATACTAAATGTGAACATTGGGAGAATCAAATAAATCTGTATTCCACTAGGTTGTTTACATATATTTCATGGATATATTCAAGTATATTCCAGTAGTAAATATCCAACCCTTTTCTTAATATTTTTAGTTGGTCTTCTACACTATCCATTCAGACCTACACATCTTAGGAAATGCAGCCCTTTCTCCTTTGATCCTTACTAGGTATTGCTATAGTTTGGATCTTAAACGTCCCCTAAAGGTCTATGTGTTAAGGTTTGGTCCTCAGCCTGTGGCACTAGCGGCAGGTGGTGGAAAATTTAAAAGGGATGGCATGGTGGGAGAATATTTAGGATATCGGAAACATGCCTTTGAAGGGAATGGTGGGACTCCATTGCCTTCTTCCTCTCTCTTTGCTTCCAGGATGCCACGGGGCAAGTAGCTTGCTGCCATGCCACTAGTCCAAAAGTAATGAGGTCAGCTGACCCTGGGCTAAAACTTCCCACAATGTGAGCCCAGTCAACCTTTTCTATCTGTAAGCTGATTATCTCAGATATTTGTTAAGTTTGAAAAGCTGTCTAACCCAGGTATTAACAAAGTAATGAAAACATAATTTTAAAGAATTTACTCTCATTTCATCTTTGCAATAATTCTATAATTATTATCAACAGATAAGGATATGTCTTATTTTTCTCCATGTCAGTCCTCTCATTCCTGTCCGGGAATTATACTTCTCACTTCTCACACCACTAACTTCTAACTCGGTCATATTACCTATAATGCCCTTTTCTGCAGGATTGTACATCCCTGACCTGTTGAATTCAGCTGTGTACTGGGATAAACTTTGGCTTCCAGAAAAGAAGTGACACATGTCACTACCAAGCAGAAGGTTTAGTGTTATTTTATTTGATTGTGTCTCTTTTGTCTTTCTGCCAAAAGACCAATAGTGCTGAAAGTTTACTCAATTATTTTACTCTTAGAGTGAGGGTGACATGAACAGGACCACAGGTGAATCACAGTGGACATATAGCCTGAGTGAGAAATAAATATTGATGGTTATAAGCCTCTGAGGCTTGAGAGTTGTTTGTTACCACAGCTTAACAGCTTCTCTTATGGTCCCTTGTATTTTCATTTAGTGATTGAGAAAACCAAACAACAGATGTTAACTAACACATACCTCTATTCAGCTACACCAAAATTTCATCAGTTCCCCCCACCAATGCCACATGAATAGAACAGATAACCTTGGTAAAATCTTTCCTAAGATGTAATTTCAGTAAAGAGGATGTACATATTATCCAAACACAGGAAAGCTCCCTGGTACCGCCTGAGGCTAACTATCAAGGGTATGTGCCTTTCATATGATTACATTTCACAGCTTTACAGATGAGGAAACAATCTATGAGAAATTATTCAACTTGAACAAAGAAAAGTAACATTGCTAATACAGCAGGTCTCATATTCTGACACCTGCCATACACAACGACAATGGAATACTATTTATTTTGTTGTTGTTGTTGTTCTACTTAGTTGTGTATGACAGCAGAATGCATTTCAATTCATCGTACACAAATGGAGGGCAACATTTTAATTCTCTGGTTGTACACAGTGTAGAGACTCAACATTCACGCAATCATGCATGTACTAGGGTAATGGTGTCCATCTCATCCCACTATCTTTTCTATCCCCCAAACTCGTCCCCACCCTCCCCTTTGCCCAGTCCAAAGTTCCTCCATTTTTCCCATGCCCCTTCCATCCACAATTTCCTGTAAGCTATCAAAAGTAACTTCAGAATACTTAATTATTTTATTATTATTATTTTAGTGTTATTATTGTGGTTAAATAGTACTTTTAATTTTTTTTCTGAAGTTATAAATGGATAGATGCCTTTATTTTATTTGTTTATTTTTATGTGATGCTGAAGACTGAACCCAGTGCCTCACACATGCTAGGCAAGTGCTCTGCCACCGAACTACAACCCCAGCCCAGTACTTTTAAATTTTAAACTGTGCTACTACAGTTGTTATAGCACACCTGATACCTTGATCTCTGTTAGAGGGCTGGGAAGTTTTTATAACTTTTACATATTTTGTATAACTATTCATTTGGATAATTATTCATTTCATAAATATGATTTTCAACTTATTTTAAATAAATTAGTATTATTTCTACTTAAATGGAAATACTTTTAGAATCCTGATAATGCAAATTTAAATATTGTTTCCTATATTGATTGATGTCGTCACTGTTATGAGCAATTGTGTGTCTATAATACACCATTAGTTACCTACTATGTTTTAAGAACTGTGTTCATTTTTTTTCACACATTATATTGAATCCACAATAATTTCATGAAATAAATATTTATGTACTTATTTTTTAATACCTTTATTTCGTTTGTTTATTTTTATCTGATGCCCGGGATGGAACCTAGTGCCTCACACATGCCAGGCAAGCGCTCTACCACTGATCCACAACCCTGGCCCTTATACTTATTTTACAGATAAAAAAATAACAATCTTCAGGGCACACAGTTATTTAATGATACAATCAAGATTTAAAACAAGATTGCTTTAATTTGAAGACATGTTTCTCTTCCCTTTGAAGTCTCACTGCATCATCTCATGTTATCTTTATTGAAAAATACAGGGGGTTGGGTTTTGTATTTCCTAATTCAAAAGAACACAGAAATTGTTATGGTATGTATTTGGGAATTACTTGGATTGTGTGTGGCTAGAATGCGTAGTCTCTCAGCCCTTGTGTTCTGGGAAGCTAAATAATCCTCTCAATGAATCACACTTCTGATGAAGATGACTTTCTAATGTGCTGAGTCTCTGACCCAGTGTTTTAATTCACTTATGGAGGAATTACCATGTATTAAAAATGCATCAAGTGCTGGGAATACAAAGGCAAATAACACTATATTCTTAACTTAGATGATCATATTTTCTAATAAAGGAAAATATTACTCAAACAATAGAGAAAACATTACACACAATAATGCTTATGACAGTTTAATGTGATAGCACAATTTTAAAACAATAAGAGTATGGTTTCAACAAATGACATACTCATATAATAGAATGTATACATCTATTCAATTGATGGTAAAAGTCTCTAAAAACATGAAATTATGTTCATAATTCAATATTGCATGAAAATAACAAAATAATCTCTTTCCTTCATCTATGTAAAATAATTTAAAATGCTTGATGTGAAAACACTATAATGTACACACTTAATATTCTACTTGAGTGGCATTATGAAAAATTTATTTTTTTCTGTATGTTAATAGTAGCCAACAATTTTCCTGGATACATTTTATAATATAAATACACAAAAAAGAGTTAATTTGTCAGGAATGCCTACCTTAAAAATGAATTGCCGCTCTTTGTATACCAGAAAGTGCTCTGAAATAAATATCTAATCATACAAAATAAATAATTAAATAGAGACTTTAATGGAGAGAGGCAGGGCATTATTCTCTGTCAAGAAAATTATCATGGCAGCCCTGAAAATTTGCCATTCAGTTCTCTGGACTGGGAACATTAGCTGCCCTGCCAGCCTGGCTGCCAGGGCTCAGGATTGGCAGTCTGTGCAGACCCAAGCTGCCCCAGGCTGCTTTCAGGCAATAACTGAATGTGGAGGGAGCAGTAGGGCAGATCCATTCCTGCCTCAATAAGGGCTACTCTAAAAGGATACTTGCCTTGGAGGAACCCCACTGGCCTGGCAAAACTTTCTTAGAAGCT